AAGAGAAATTTCTTCTTTACGGTTGATAATTATCTTTGCATATTCTTAAATGTACTTGATCATTATTTTTGGGGAATTATGTTAAGAGAAGATAAGTGATATTGTGAAGAATATGATTTGTTCAAATTGTGAATGAAACGTTGAAAAGATCAGGGCAAGCAATTGTTTAGTTATTGTGTATATATCAGAGGAATGGTAGTCTAATCGTTAGTAGAATATTCATAAACGAGCATTTACATTCCATCGGCCCATAGCCGATTGATCATAGCTAACTGACCTGATCGCATTTCTTGACGGGTGAATTATAATATCAAGAACTCTGGAGTAACCATGAATGTGTCTCATAAGAATTGTAACGAAATTAGGAAAAATGGAACGAATCAATTGGGGTGTTTGTATCAAGAGTTTATGAGTAGCTAAAAATCGTCAAGACCGGGAATTCTCGCCATATTTCTATTTATAATTGATGAAAGGTTTATTCGTGTCAGAATATGATGAGTAGTTCAGGTTGCAGAATTTTATTCAGCTCGTTAAGTTGGTTGATTAGTTGAAGTCGCCTTAAGTATGATTTTTTTGTGCGAGGTCGAATGTTCAGTATTATGAAAAGTTGTTCGTTCACTTGAACCTCAAAGTTTGAACTCACAATTTTAATCGAATTATGTGTTTGTGTTTCATTCAGATACTATCGCAAACGTTACTGAATTGAATAGAATTACCCAGCAAATCGGTTGAAATACTGCGTCATGGGTCGTATGAATATTGGCCTAATGCGCTATCTACAAGGCGAACATTTCCGAGTGTTAATTGCGGTAATTTTGCTCTTCTTTTCCAAAGAGTTTCTTTTCTTCCCAACATAATTTCGCAGTTGCCATAGAAGTTTTCAGATATCTTTCTTCATTTCTTCTTTTTTTCCGTTTTGCACTTTCATGCAGCAATAATTGATTGCATCGAAGTGCTTAGCGAACCTTGAATTGATGTGGGAGAATTGAATTGATGCGTTTTGCAGATAGAAATGGGCATGAAGAATCATGAGCTGGTACCGCTGCAGTTGATTTCTTCAATTGCTGGTTATCATCGTGGGGCAGTATCGCGTACTCTATCAGATCTGCAGAAGAATTCATTGGTGTTATTTACACGAGGAAAACGATGTGTGTGAAGTTGTTATTTGCTTTTAGTTTTAGCGAATTATTCTTAGGATTTTTCATTTTTTGATAATAATTGTGACAAATAATTGAATGATAATTTTTTCAGTTATAATTGAATGACTTTGTTATCACTTTTGTGATCATTTGAAACGTAGCATATCGCTCGTATCATTCATATTTTAGGTGAGAGCAATTAAGCTACGAATTTCATAGATCATTTCATAGCACCACTCATTTTCAACTCTATAATAGAAGCTGTTCTCAGTTGATCCATTGAGTCCAATTAGTGAGGTTTTGAGTTTCAGTTCTTTAATTGGGAATGTTTCAAAATTCGAGTTTTACGTTCACCTTCTTTGCGATGTTTTGGAGAATGTAGATTGTTGTAACTGATAAGTTGTGAGTTTCATCATTATAATAATTTATTTATCATTCATT